GGCGGCCGTGGAGCGGCGACCCCCGCTGAGGGAGAACTGAAGGGCCCCTGCCCCGGGGACGCCAAGGGACCCTCGGGAGCTGAGGGGTCTCTGCCTCCCCTGGGGACGCTGAGGGATGAGGGGCCACGGAGGGGGTCCCAGCCCCGGGGACGCTGAGGGACGCTCCCTGACGTGAGGGGACCGTGTGCTGAGAGACACCGTGAGGGACCTGCTGTGGGGTGGGGGACACTGAGGGGTCCCTGCCCTGGAGACACCAAGGGACTGTCCCGTGACATGAGGGGACACTGATGGGCCCAAGTTCCAACAGAGACTGTAAGGGACCTGCTGTGGGGTGGGAGACACTGAGGGGTCCCTGCCCCGGGGACGCTGAGGAAGACACCACGAATGAGGGTTTTGATTCCCTCATCCCTCACAGCCTGGATTTGTCCCTGGGGCACATGGTGGGACCGTAGCCGGAGGTGTGACGAGCACGGCAAGGGGGGCAGATGCCCCGCTCTGCGTGGGTAAACCCACTGGCGAGCGGGTGACGGAGGCCTCCAGCTCCGGTCACCCTCAGGTCTCACGGACCCGTCTCAGTACTGACGGAAAGGTGTTAATGCCGCTCTTGTACAGACTGCCTGCGAGGAAAATGCTGGAGACTTGCATTTCATGGAAGTCCAGGTCTCTAGCAGAGTTTCCATTTGCTGCACAAAGATTGCCAAAATCAACGTTTCCCTATGACATTATGAGAGAAATAATGCAAGTAGCTTCTGTGATCTCCTCTGGTCGTAGCCAATTTATGGTCCTGGGTTGAATTTTTCAGAAGGGAAGACTGTTCTCCTCCCTTACCTTGGCCTCTAGCTCGGATGCCCGGTCTGAAGGAGCTATTCTCCAATAATTTTTGATAACGTGCCCCAGACTCCTGTTTTTGAGGCTCACGGCTGCTTGGCAGTCATCCAAGAGCGAAAGAGCAAAAGTGGCAATTCTTAAAGGAGGAAAAATGATGATCTATCGCGGGACAGACTGATTCTTTGAGAGCCTGTTCCAAGAAAGAGCTATGCTTTCCCCTTACCTCCATATTTCCTTTGCAATAACTTCTGAAGGGATTTCTAAGTGAGCTGGAGATCAGAAGGGTGTAGGAGAACAACTCTCGCTTTTATGCGCTGGGTGCCCCACGGGGAAAGAGCGATGGCCCTGGATGGGCTCTGCTTCTCCGAAGCATTTTGAGCGCGTTCGCATCCCGGGCTCGTGGCTGTCCGCAGCCATCTCAGGAAAGCGCGGTTGCTAGGGTGAGTAAATGATCTTTTCAATAGCTACACATGTTTTAAAATAATGAATATCTCTTGTTTAACTTTCTATACTTTTTATTCTAAAAGTTCACAGGATGGCCAGGAGGAGCAGCCAAACTTCTGTGACTGGAGCAGAATCAATACACTGAATGCATGGTAACGAAGTACACAAAGATGTATGACTCATAGCTATGTAATGTCACACTTGTGTAATCTTTCAATGTAAACTCTTTTCCTCTAATAAAATGTTAGTAAGTGTACAATACGTATATATGGTGCTGTGAGTCAGCCAAGAAAATACACTCTGATGAATTCAGAATGAATGTGAATGTTCCCTTGATAACACACCCCGAATGTCTGTGTCAGTTTATGTGCTTGTGATTTCAGCAACAGCTATAACAAAATATTTTGTTTCTAGGATATACAAGTGCACTGTACATTTCACTGAGAAGCTCCAGTCGGATGCTGTCTTCCAGTAGGCACTGGAAGGACATTTGTTTATAGCACTGCACCGATTCCGTCACCTAACTCTCTTTTTTCTTTGCATAAAGGAAACATTTAGCGGGTAGTGAGAATGAAAGCCAAGCGCACAAAATAATAAATCCACTGCCTTCAGTTTCTTTTTGTTTTCACGTAAAGTGGCAAAGCTAAAAAACTACAGCTATGTTAAACCTGGTGAGACGAATGTGAGAATTTATTTACGTTGTGAGTCACTAGTTCTGCACAAATTGAGTACAACTCTGCCGTGACCTTCCACTTGGTCCGTGATAGCTGTGCTGACATTTTCTGGCTTTTTGCTGTACGCACCGCTTATTTTAAACATCTAAACCCTGGCACTGAGCTCACTTATGGCAGCATAGATCGGGAGTGATGCCACTGGCGTGTAAATGTGAAGAATGTGAGATTAGAAAATATTTGTTAATCTGCTGTGGGTAGAGGAGAGCTAAATGATGTGTGATTTGTCTTCCAGCCAAAGTAAACACGGGCTCAGCCGTTTTTGTATGGCAAAGCCGATTTTTCTAGGTGTTGCTGCTGATCTCTGTTGTTGCTTTTACATCAAGAGCAACTTTTCAAGGCACAGCAATCAAGATGCCACAGGTTAGCAGAAGAACCGGAGCTGGGGCCGTGTGCTGAACTGCGCCCTCGGTGAAACCCTGCAGCTGGATGGCTTGGTGCGAGTGCCCTCCTCACCTGGCTGCTAGAGCACTCTGAGTCATTACAGAACCCAACAAACCAACAAAAAGCTCCTTTCTCAGGGGGTTGTTCCCCGAAGGTCCCGACTGCACCGAGAGCAAACGGAATAATAGCAGGGTAAACGAGCTGAGAATGAGACCTCTTAGCACCACTGTTCAAAATCACAGTCCTGGTAACACCGTGACCAACCGCTTCATATTGAAATGAGACCAGCATTATCGTAGGATTTCCCTGCCTGCATCTCAAATTGCCATACTTCTGTTGACTATACTTTTTTTTTTCTTTTTTTCTAATTTAAACTGCAGATCCGAGGTAGTGCTTTTTAGAGTCTGCTCCCAAGGAAGTTGATAAAGTGATGTAAACCACCACATAAAATGAAACATACAGGTGCTTTTTGGAGAGGCATTTCTTATTTCGGGGAGAGCGATTTAATCCTGTGGGCCTTTTATTTGATTAAAGTAACACCATGAATTAGTTTGATAAAGGAGCCTTTTCCAGACCTTTCATGACTGGAGTTGGTTCCCATTCGGGGACTTAAAGGTGAACCATCTCCTTGGTAAGCTGAAGCTGAAGGGGCTCATTCGGTTTTTAGTATGACATGTTTTCCTTTAATATTTTTTTGTGATTCTCCTCTGAACTATGTGCGTATTTTTCAAAATCTTTCTTGAGGTCTGAGCCCTGGAAATGTGGAGCAGCAGACAAATACGAGTCACCCCTCTTTAGGCAAGGGCTGCACTCGTGCTCCGTTGGTCACGGCATTGCACTGGAGCTCACGACTCTTTCGCAAAGCCCTCCTCTCCCCCAGCTCTTCCATCGCATCTCAGCTTCCCAGTCAAGGGCACCACCACCGTGTACACAGGGGCTGCACCCAGCGCTGGCTCGAGGCTTCTCGGCGAGATTTAATTCATGGCAATGGTGAACACAGAACTCATGGGGCATGGGGGGAGACTGGGAGGTGGAACAGAGCCCTGGGAGGCCTGGTGGGAGTGCTGGTGGGCCACGGCGCAGGGCTGGGAAGCATCATGAGATGCTGGGAACAACTGGGAGGAATCCAGCTTATTTAGGGCGGCACAGATGGAAGGTAGAGACTACGAAAAGGTACCATGAAAAGAGGCATCTGGCATTTGCCATCTCCAGCAGAGCAATTTTGCTGCCCCAGTTTTTATTACCTGTTGGCCTAGGTAGGAACCTATTTTTGTCTGCGCCAAAAAGCAGAGCTGCTTGCATTTTTCGTTCCTAGAAGCATGGCCTTACGCCTGTCCGTATGGCCATGCGTGGTGTGTGTTTCTGCCTGGTAGCGAAGCAGTTATAATAATTCTTTAACAATGGCATGTTCTTCAAATTATGTTGCACTTCCTTGATCTTTGTCACCTAGGACTTTATCAGTAGCAGTTTCTGTTTTCTTCCAGGTCATTGTTAACAACATTGAATGGTAAGTGATGCTAAAGAAAGATCAAGAACTAATAAACCTGCTTGATTAAAATTTAAATGAGATCTCAAGATGTAGCAGCTTGTGTTTGGACCCATTCGCGTGTGCACGCCATATTGATTTGTCATGTTCTTGTTTCTTCTTGTGAAAATCACTCTGCACCGAGGCAAATCCTTACCGAGGTTTGCCTGTTACAATCAGCACCGCCGCCTTATTTAAAACACCACGGTCATTACCTAAACCATCTTTATTTACAATTCTTGTTACGTATCAAGTCCTTCCAGTCTCTCGCCCGGGTTTATGTAACACTGACAGGCATATCTGGGTCATTCTGTTTACCCTGTTAAAATATTGACATAATATTCACATTCAGGTCACCTGGGGCTTCCCCACTGTTAGCATTAACCACCCGGATACATCCTTAGTTGGTTCTTTTGAAACGCTCACTCATAAGTTACCCAGACCTGGCAACTTAATATTGTTTGAGATGAGCAGCAGTTGTTTTAACATCCTCCTTAGTTACTGGAATGGAAAGTATTTCAACATCATTATTGTCTGATCTGAATACAGCATCTGGCTTCTTCCCAAAGAGAGAACAGAAATATTTTTTAGCACTTCTGCTTTTTCAGCATGATTATTGACAGTTCTATCACATCTATTCATTGTGACGGCAATCTTAATTCGTTTTAG